CACAAAGACTGAAACCTGGCTTTGTCAGATAGGACAGTGTCTTGATCCTCCCTAAAAAGGATTAGTCAACTAAAAAGAAGTCTTACTGAATTTAGTTTAGAATTGTTATTTACATTTGATCCACATGTAAACATTTGTTTTAGTAATGATCATAAAAACCTAATTTACAGGGTAAATTTTGTCTCTGTCTTGCCATTAATTTTGTAAGAATTAAGATAAATTGAGGCAAAACCAATAGCCTATGTGGTCCATGGAAGAAGCTGAGCCAAACAAAGGCATCTTTGCCAAGATGTGCCTCTAGGACCTGTACTGTGGGAGAGGATTTCTTGCCAGTCTGTAAAAACCAGTGTATTAGCAGATGGTGACCTTTGGGAAGTAGTTGTGTGTGCTGGGCACAGAAGGAGCAGATGGCTCTGGGCAAGCCTCAAACACAGCATACTGAAACAAATTCATAAATATTCAGGGTACTGTAAAGACTGTAGGTCTATGAATGTTCCTCTCGGGGCAAATGTGGGTGTGAGGGGTCCCATATTCTCATTCTACCTGCTTATTTCTTCCTTGCTGGACATGAGAAATGATGATGCTACAATCTGTGGGGCTGTGCAGTGTATTGGATAAGGAAGGAGACTGAACTTCAAACTGCCTGGTCTGTACAGGAAAGTGAAGAAGGAACTGTAACAGGACACTAATATTGTCAAGCTTTTGGGGAATTCTATGTGCTCTGTAGTGGCTGAATATATTTTTGAGGTGGAGATGGAATTAATAGTGTTTCTGAGGTGCTCTCCAGTGATGAGCATGATAATCAACTATGTTGAATTCTTTCTCTAGTATTTTTTTCTTCAGTGTTTTTGGACTCCTGTGGTGTTTGTTCAACTGATACATGCTTTTGGTATTGTAAATGAGGCTGGACTATGGGTAGCTGCCAAAAGCCCCAAAAGTATGATCAATCTTTTATGCTCCATTTATATTTTCAGAGTATTTTTTCCCAAGCAAAATGAATCTTGTTGCCCTAATAGGTGGCTTTGCTGCCAAGTGTACCTGCAAAAAAATACAAGCAACATTTTCTCCAACTTAATATTTTATGTAGAGAGTAAGATGGGCCCTCTGTCCTTCACAGTAAGATGGACCCATCCATGCTTCATGTCTCACTTCATGCTGACCTCACGAGTAGATTTACACATTCCTCTCTTTAGGTGTCTGAGAGATCTCTTGCTAATGTCACTAATCTGAGAAGCTTGATTTGTGAAAGATCTGTTGAATCACTTAGTCCTTTCACTGTGGGTCTGTGTAGAATTGCTTCTCATGAAATATTTTCATTTAAAACTTTTTCATTTATGGTTATTTATTACGGTTTATTTTCTAATGTTTATGCCACACATTGCCTCTCAGAAGATCAATTTTTCAGGGTAGACATCACTGAGGGTGCTCTGCATCTGTGAGACTGCATTTTAGAGCCAGTGAGAGCCACTGACTGGGATTTTGGTGAGGTGTTACTAAAAATCATCTTTGTGGGAAATGACTGCATTTATGATTCAGTCATTAGGGATTACACATTTCCATTTAAAAACTAAATTTTGGGAGTTTCAGTTTGTGATGAGTTGACCTTGGCTAGCTGCCAGGTGCCTACCAAGCCGCTCTCTCACTCCCTCACCTCAGTGGGACAGAGGGAAAAAAAGGCAAAAAAAAAACTCCCTAAATTCCTTATGTGTCAAGGTGTTATGGAAAAATGCAAGGACTGCACTCAGAAACAAAGGCAAATAGATTTATTCTCCACTTGCCATCAGCAGGCAATGTCCAGCCACTTCCTGGAAGTAGGGCTTTGGTACACATAGTGGCTGTTCCTTAAGACTGCCTTAATCACTCATGTCCTCTCTCCCCTTTTCCTTTTGTTGTGCATGATGTTTTAAAATATGGAGCATCCCACTGGCCAGTTTGGGTCAGCTGTGTCACCTGGGTCCTGGCTGTGTCACCTCCCAACCCCTCATGCACCCCCAGCCTACAGAGGTGATGTTGGGGATGATGCTGTGCAAGCACTGCTCAGCAGTAATCAGAACACTGGTATGTTATTAGAGCTGTTCTGGGTACAAATGCAAAGCACAGCACTGTAATGGTGGTTTTGGAGGAAGTTAACTCCATCCCAGACAGGCATGCTGTACAGTTAAATGATTTGTTGTAGTGATGTTTGCAGCTCCTATACAGAATATTCTTCTCAGTTCTAAATGACTTATGACATTTTTATAATATAATATTTTCTAGAAATGGAGGTATTTTTTCTTTTGAACTTACACTAGCTAGGAGTCTTAGTGGACCACATTTCACAGAGCTTTTTTCTTCATGAAACATTATATTACTTTGTGATTTTTATAGCTCAAACCTATATTTTGAATTTAGGTAGCAAAATCCAATAATGGATATATTAACTCTGCTAATATTTTAAATAATTTACTTTTTTAATGGTTTCAAAGTAGTTGCTCTGTGAACTGTAGTTAACCTTATTCCTGTGATTTATTAATAGACAGTAGGAGCCCTTTTTATCTGACTTAGGGATTAAAATAATATTAAGTTAAAACTATCTAATTCCCCCCCCCTCCCCTCCCCTTCTTCTGTTCCTTTGTAAGATGAATAAAGGTCATTTGAAGTTAATGGCTAGTACATTTGGAACTAATAACAGGAAATGCCCTTTCTAATAATAGGTAATCTCTCTTTTAGGCAGGGCTGAACCCATTTCTGAGATGTGTTCACTGGATCATAATTCTGGTAAACTTCAAGCAGTAAGGCTGAACATTTCCATGTCCACTGCTTGCTTCAGGCCAAATTTGAAATTTTTGTGCAAAATATTCTGCAGTTTCCAAGGTTGAGACTATTCCCTTACTTGGAATTATTGACAGGTTGGTTGTTTGTTTCGAGCAGTTGGTTCAACTGAGTGATTGAACAGCTCAGTTGTCTTAGCATTTAGGGCTAAGGAGTTGAAGCTTGCTGAATTGGAAGAGTCTTCTATCCTAGTCATGTGTCCTTGGCCATGGAGGTACGTCCAATGCAGATAAAGTTTTGTATGACTCCAAATATAGAAAGTTCAGAGATACTCCTAAGACCTCTTTCCTGGCACCAGACAGGTCTGGAATAGCATGTCCACCCAGTATGTTTAAGGAAGCCTGAGAGTCAGTGTGAAGATGGAGAGCCATTTGGTAGAAGGGAGATAATTGGCAATGAATATTGGAGTGCCTTGGGTAAAAGGATTTAACAAGAAGCTGTGAAGAGATGGACCAGGCTAGTTTAGAAAATCAAAATGAGACAAAGTGATACTTGAAATATGGTGGTCAAATGGAAGGAAAGTTGCAGAGGGCTTGAACCAGGGGGAGATGAACAGAACAGCATGGTCCAATCAACCCATGGTTTGCTCAAAAGCCTGAGTGGAAGGAAGTGTTTCCTTTTTCTTAGGGTGCCATAAAAATATTATACTTGTATGAAATCTACAGCTAGCTCTACAGCTGAAACACAGGAAAAATGGTAGTTTGTTGATGTGGTAATTTCCTGCTGTGTCTCAAGGATTTGTTTGAACTATAGTAAATAAAATTTTAAATAAAATAAATTTATTTACTATAGTCTGAACTATAGTAAATAAAAAGCAAAAGTCATTAGCATACTGGTTGAGGTTTAGGATTGGAAGGACAAACTATAATTGTATAGCTTTGTCAAACTTAACTTTTGTGATTTAGAGGTGTGCATCACCATCATACCATTAGGTGCTTGCTTGTGAAATAAGCCTAAGCCAACCTTGAATTTGGTGACTATGCTGGGTGTTTTCTGCTTATCAGCTGTGTGAAGGAGAATTTTGTTTTATCTGTGCTACAGCTCTCCCAGGTGTTGCGGAATCTGGGTGTGTGTAGTGAGCAAAGCAGGAGGTATAGGAAGTAAAAGGAAGTTGTTATGGGTAAGGTAGCTGAATCCATCCGTGGAGGCATGGACTGACTGCCATTGATGCAGTTTTATCTGTTGCTCAACAGTGGCTTAAGATTTTAAAGATTTTATCTTGTTTTTTTTTTATGTTGAAGCTGGTACCCCAAGACTGATTTGCAGAAGTCCTGGGTATCTGTAGAGGTAACCAAGCCTATAATTTGAACATACTCAACTGTTAGGAATTGGAGAATGAACACCCTGAGAGCCCTGTATGTTTTTGGAAATTAAGGTTATTTTACCTCAGTTTGCCGGTTGTCTTTGTAGTGTGGATATTGCCATTCCCACTTTCTAGGGTGCATTATGAAGATTGATTAATGGCTGTGATGAGAGCTATATAAAAGCTTTTGAGGAAACTAATATTCCTACCTTGATGGTAGGATTTGAGTAGTCTGGTCCAAAAAAAGGACACAAACATTTATGGAACCATTTCTGCTGTGTACACAGTAAAGCAGGGGGCCTTGTCAAAGGAAAATATATGAATAGCTGATTAAAGACAATATCCAAATGCATATGTGCAAGAGGGACAAATTAAGCTTGTACAGGCAGCCATTCCATAACTTATAAAGGTTTGACTTCATGATATTCTAAATACTCTTTTTATGCAGTATTTTTTTAATGTGTAATTTATGTTTCAGCTGGGAAAGAGACTGGTAGAATAATCATGAATAGAAGATGAAATATGAAGTTTAGAAGAATTAGAAGACCTCTAGATTTAGTCATAGGTATTTTGCTTTGTGTAAGTGCTATAGTTTTGTGGTAACTGGCTTGAGAATGAAATGACCACAGAGAATATTTCCACAGTTGCAGTATTCATAGAGGTGAGCCCATGACACCCCTGGAGGGAGGCATTAGCTTGAGCACTGGGAAATTTTGACCAGTTGCTGTTTATCTCTGTTAGTGGATAAAGGCAGGCTTCTCCTTTAAAGGCTGAAAGCCTTTTGCAAGTGCTTTATTTACACTAAAAATAAATACTAAATCGCTAGGGGCACATTGTGGAAAATGAAAACAACCCTGTTCTTCTGTATTTTCTATTCTGTAGGTAAAATACAAAAGAGACTTTGAAGAAAGCAAAGGAAGAGGGTTCAGTATTGTGACCGATACGCCCGAGTTACAAAGACTGAAAAGGACTCAGGAACAAATCAGTAATGTATGTGACTGCAACCTAAAGTGATTGTAGGTGGAGAAGTAGTGTGTCTAAGAAAAGGTGTGTTTGTTGGTGTTTTCAATGAAGTTTGTGCGAGTGAACAGTCTGATTTTGGTGATTGATTTGTGTATGTCAGATTTTGAAATACCACGGACTTGTACAGCACATTGGCAATGTGTGTTCACCTCTCCAACTTTCAATCAGTATGCTCAAAGTATTTTCTTTATAAAAATGATTTGACACTTTTTGATCTTCTAATAATTTGTCATCAAGTAAGAATACTTTTGGAACTTTTAATTTACTTTTTATTTATATAAAGTATATAGATTATGTAAGTTAAAAAGTTTTGCCTCTTTTTTAGCAGGAGCTCTCAAAGTTAGCAAAACAAGCAAGAGGGAATTTTCTAGCAGGTAAAATGTTGTTGCTGAGTTTTAAAAGAAAAGACATGCACGACAATGCTCTACAAGATGACAAAGAAATGGCAAATAGCAAAACCTAACATATTTCATTAGCTTACAGGAATGGGACTTTTAAAAATGGGACTTTTCCTGTCTTATGTCTTCGCTAAGAAAGTTATTTATTTGTACTGCATTCTCTTGTAGCATGTTTAACTCACTGCATGATGGAATATTGGTGACACATAGTGCAAATTCTGATACGTATGAAATAGGTAAGAATTAGTCTGAACTAGAAAAGATGCAGAATCAATACTATTCACTTGTCTTGGCTTCCCTTCTGATCATTCTTCTGCTGCATGATTTTGTCCCTATAGATTATTTTGAGAAAATATTCTTGAATCATTGTCTGTAGTAATAAAATAACAGCAAGGCATCAGAGACACACAGTGTAAGTATGATCAGATGAAAATATTGGGATTTATTTACTTGAAATAAAAAACCTTTTTTTCAGATTAGGATATTATTGAAGAAAAAAGTCATTGGAAAACACTTATTTTTCACAGCAGTGGAGGTTTACTGTTCTTGCCAAAGCATTCACTAGTTTTTGATGTCTAGAGCCAGTCTTTGAGATGAAAAATTTAGGCTCATTTCCTGGAGCCAATGGAGACGACAGTTAATGTAAGAGCCGTACAACTGCTCCTGTATGTAAACAAGATGAGAACAAAAAGCTCATCTCATGTTCATACTGGGGCTAACTGAAATTACTGGCTTGTAAGAGAGAAAAATGTATTCTTTGGAGTGGCAAAAAACATGGCCATTAGGACTTCCATTTGGGATCTGGGAAACTTCAGCGACTCCCTGGTTTTAATCTGCATTTAAGCTGCATTTTTTATTCAGACCAGGAAGTTAAATTAGGTCCTCTCACGACCTACAGAACTTCCTCAAGCAAGAGTGATTCCTTTCTGTTGGGTAGCTCTGGAAGGCATCAAGGAGATGAAACGAGTGAGGCTCTGGTGAATACTTAATCCCTCGCATGGGTCTGCTCTCTAAGGATGGACCGAGAGCAGTGCCCTGCTGCAGGCCTGTGGTGCTCAGTTTGGGATGTTGGCCTGCCAAGAAAAATTTTCAGACCTCCTAAGTACCCTCAACATCAGACTACAGAATAGTAGGACACAGCTCACTTGCTTGCTCTTATCTCTTGTTCAAAGCACATTGTGTTTTCTGTTGTGGGAAAAGGAGATAATAAAAACAAGTGGTTTTGTGACATGGGAAAGGGCTTTCTTCCCATCTCTACTTTTGAGTGGATCAATGGAGTTTCTGTCCTAATGGAAGATCTTGTTCCATGATTTATGATGCTATCTGGTTCCTGAACCAAAGATAAGTACCTGCCTTTTCAGGTCCAGAAATTGCTTTTTAAAATGGGAAGAGTGGCTTTATTTCAGGATTTTTCCCTTGGTCATTGCATGTGTGACTACTTTCTCTTCATTTATAAACATGCTATTCTTAACAATATAGATTTGATCTCTCCAGTCTTGGCAATAGAGAGTTGTTTTCTTAATGTATGTAGGTGACAGAGATTCCAAGTCAGGGACCCAATTAGAAATAATTAGTCTTGAAGGGTAAAATGGAATTTTTAAATGTGCATGATAAAAGAAGTTGCGTTTAATTTCTGTTTACATTGAAATAATAATTTATAGCATTATATCCTAGAGAGATACTTCTGCATAGGCCACAACATCAATTTAATTAGAAAGCTCCTGTATTATAGAAAGGCCTTCCACACAGAGTAGTTTCTGTATTTGTCAGATAAGCAGTATACATCATGGACTAAGGATCTAATTAAGATTTCAAGACACTGAAAGGTAAGCACTTTAATAATACTAAAATAATTTTAATTTTCATATACAGAGAAATGGAAGAATACTAATATATCTATTTAATTTTCAGTTTAGTTTTGATTTCACCTTGAAGTACTAGAAACTTCTCAAAGAGCCTATTTGAACCAAAATTGTAACTACTTCATTGAAGGGGTAAGTAAGTGATGAAAATAAATAACAATAATATACTAATAAATGCTAAGTAGCATAAATATTTTGAAAATAATTGTCTTTTTTGACCTGATACAAAGTTTGGCAGCATATGGATATTAGCGCAGTACTCTGACTTTTTGAAGAATCTCTTGTGCTATGAATATAAACCTTGTGAGGAAAAAACATGGTGGGGAGTGGAAGGAGAGTGGGTAGATAAAGGGATTGAGTTTTGGTTGTTGTTTTGCCACCAGCTATCCTTCCTCTGAAGATTTAGACCAAACCTGTGGGCTTTATTTTATGGTTCTTATGGAGGTATCAGGACCAGAGTGGAGCTTCTTAGACAAGGATGAAATTTAATCTCATGATTTTTTAGCATTAAGAGCCTAATTCTGCAGATATACAACATATTTTGACATTAAATATGTAGTCAATACACAAAAAAATGTATGTTGTTCTCACAGAGAAATGCGTACACTTTGCCAAAGGACCTTGTAGTGTTTTTTGTCCATATTGAACTTTGAGGTTTTCAGAATGAATGCAAATATTCTCAAAGTGAAAAAAGCCCCAACCCTATGTATTTTTATAGATTATTTTGCAATTAAGCTAGCTGCAAACTGGTTTTGCAAGGAAGAGGTTAAGGTGGCAAAAGGAATAGAATAAATAAAGATGATGGCAAAAAATGTTGGTCTATCATGACACAGGGATAAATGAGGGAGTAGAAACTCAATCTAGTACTATTTTCTTTGGGGAAATGGAACACTTTCAGCAGTCTGCAGCAATGTGCTGCAGCTTACGGCCACTGCACTTCTATGCCTCGATATATGACTTGAAGCGTGTTTTATCCTATGTGAAATAAGCTGCTCTTTCTTAAATATGCTTCTGGTAAATGTCTGCAAAGTATTAAAGAAAACAGGTGTCCATACATATTGATGGAGTGAGAAGCTTTCATTAAGATAAAGGCCAGTGCTTGGATAGTAGAGGTTGCTGTCTTGGTCGTATGGCTGGAAGGATGCATGGAAGTTTTCACAGTGCTTGTGCTCATTGCATTAAGAACCCATGTAAAAGCATTCCTCGCTTTGGCATTAATGCTGTTATGAACTTGAATCACATAAGAGCAAGAAGAACCACAAATTTGTGCCCTTCTTCTCTTGGAGAGACAACAAAAGGAAGTCATGTTGTTAATTTATTTGCATGTGACTCATCTTCCAGTAGGTTTGGGTTGTATCTGAAGTGAAAATGGTACCTTAATGCAAAAAAGGAAAATAAATAAACAGATTAAATCTGCTTTAGAAAACACATTTCCAAGGCATCCTATTTTGGTGACGAACTTAGGAAGGACAGTAGAGTTAATGAAGAGAAGGTCACTCAGTCACCCCTCTATGGGGTAAGGGAGCAGCTTCCCAAGTATCAGGAGTTGAACTCCTTAACTGAAGTTAGTGAAGTGTTTCTTGGATGCAGAGTGCATGAAGATCTTGTAGCATTCTTGAAAGTGTTGTATGTGGGTTCTAATGAGAAAAGCTGTGCATTCATTTTCTTTAAATGTCTTTAATGAAATATGGTGCATGGTGTGGGGCTTTTAATTATCAAGGGTTGCATTCTATCTCCAGTTAAATGTATACAGCTTCAGGGAATGCAGAGGAGGACAGGAATTCCCCCATAATTTGAATCAACTGAATACCTACTATTTGGACAAAGACACAAATTACAAGGAAAGTGGGCACTACTAAAAATACATCTTCAGTAGCAAGTAAAGGACGACACAGACCACATTGCTACTGTAGCTGTGCACATCTGCACATCTGAAATTAGAAACTGTCCCTAACAGACACTGAGCCATGGCTCTCTATTTGGAAGCTATTGGCAGAGCTGTTCAGTCTGTTTACTTGCTCAAACATAAAATGATCTCTTAAATTGCCAAAACAGATTGTAGAGAAAATTGGCAGGAGAAGATGTTAACAACATGGCCCAGAGCTCCACTTGTAGGATTCACAGCACAAAGCCTGCAGATACTTGTCCATAAGTGCTTTTTTCCCTCCATTGAATTCAAGTAAAGGAGTAGAATAGGGAACAAGAAAAATTAACAGCAGTATCAATGTCTGCATTTCACAAAACCAACGCCGGCACATCAACGGAGAGACTGGGTAAGTGTTTTAAATTGTATGCAAAAAGAACTTACGCTCTTCTATGCAGTGCTGGGGTTTTACTGCTTCTGAAGTAATTAATACTTTATTCCTAAACCCTTATATTCCTAAGAATTATTTTTATCTTGCTGTTGTTTAATGGGGAAAATATGTCATACATAAACTTATTTATGTATGACAATTGTGTTGACTAACATGGATGGAATAGCATTTGTTGAGCAGTGCCCTGGTGCTGCATGTCTGTGACAGGTGTGGTCAGCCAGATGCACCCTGATACTGATTGCCTTCTGCTGCCCTTGGTACCTCTGACAGTTTAACATGAACTGTAACTCCAAGAGGTATTCATTATTTGGTATGTTATAGACTTAATTCCACACAGCTGCACTTCAAATATCCGCATATAACTCATGTTATTAAGCATCTGTCATTTGAGTTGAACAGCATTTTTTCTGTCTGGAAACAAGAAAGTTGAATGTGTCATTCCTATTGCTAACATGAGTGTATCTCTGCAAGAAGGTGGCGTTCCTGCTGTGCTCCTGTGCAGTGAACATACATACATGGAGTCCAGTCTTGTTCTTTCTGTGGATTGATCTTCTAAGCTTGTTTGTGTAGATTCACAGAAATGGAAATTCTGAGAAGCCTCAGGTCCTTTGACTTTCTAATAGTTCTGTGTTGAAGTTTGATTTCTGATTTTCAGAAATCATTCTGCCCTAAAGAGTAAAATCCTAATAAATGCTTTAGAAATTACTTAGCAAAAGAATTACATTAATTTTCAGTGACCATGAGTATTTTTTGCAGATTTTTACATAGGTTTTATACTTCGTAAGCTTTCAGAAATTTTAAAAATGACTGAACACATTCTTAAGAAATGGTGAATCTAAGGAACTGTAAGTAATATTTGAAATAGAACTCATGCTAAATGAGAAAATAGAAAGCTTTGAGAAGTATTTTGAAATCTCAAGGTGTATTCTACTTAAAAATGAAAAATCTTTCTTTACTGATCATTATCAAAATATGCAAAATTAGAGACAGTGTTAAATCAGTTCCAATGCATATGAATTCTTTACCTACACTTTCAGGAAAAATTCTGAAGATATTTGGTGGCATGCTGCTTTGTTGGGCTCTATTACTTCTTTTTGCTGTGATCCCTGTGTAGGACAGTAGTCACCAAGTATTCAGTTTTCTAATATTTTTTCCATTTACTGTCGATTTACTGTTTGTTTCGATACTCCACTTACCATAAAATATTGTAAAAACAACCTATGACTTCTTTGTGGAGTTTTCATCAAAGCTTCTTTCTCGCTTTTTTAACTGTATTAATTTACATTATTTTCAGAGTTGTCCAAGAAATAAGGAGGTATTGGAATTCTCCAGTATGGAGGATGTGGATATGTGGTCCTTATTTAAATGAAGAACAAAAGCACAGACATTATTCATGCTAATACAGTAAGTAGCGCCTAGAATAAACCCTTATCTTCGGTGTAAGCTCCTATTAGAAGTAGAGGGAGGCACAGCCTTCGCTAGGGAATTTTACAGTTGTTTGTTGGGGAGGAAGAGATTGCTGAGAATCCAGAGCAGTGTGTTCGTGATTCATCGACTCCTCTTTCTGTTCCTATAACTTTTTCACATTCTCTTTTCTGGTCTCTCTTTCTGAATACTTGTGATTTACATAACAATAGCTCCCAACATGTGGGAAGAAACAGTATTTTTAGACTCCAGAATGCCAACTTGAAGGATACTTTTTGGAATGTCAGATAATCATTACAGTAATTCTGTATGAAACTGTCAGTACAGGTGGAACTGAATAATTTAGATGACTTAAACTATGGTTAAATTTCTGCTGAGCGAGCAGACGTTCAGTTTTCAGCAATGTATAATTCAGTTACAGACCATATTCCATGGGGGTAGTAAAACAGATATCGCTAATGAGGTGACATTCCTCACCTGCTAAAGGTCAGCTTCCTGATCCAGAGCAGGAGAAGCATTAGAGTCCATGAGTGATGTTGTAAAGCTGCTTCTTCTGTAGCACAGGTGGAAATGTACATAACTCTTCTCTAGAAACAGCAGAAGTATTTTGTCTTTGAGAAGCTGGAAAACAAACCCCTGCCCGAGGCATAACTTTGTTTGGAAAAATTGTAAGCATTAGCAATAAGGATTTATCATGCTGTTAGTGCAGTGTTTATTGTATGTCATACTGCCCACAAGAGTGTTAGGTTTGTAAATTCAGATAGGCCTTTGGGTAAGTCCACTGAAACACTATGTGCAAATCTGTACTGAGGTTCTGGTAAGCTACTAATGTGTGAAAGAAACTCATTAGCAAAGTGTGTAAAATGGAAGTTCTTTTCTGTTGCACACAAGTGTATTTGGACTTGAATGGCTTGTGACCTTGGGACAATTTCTGCCTGGGGAAAGTTCCCTTTTAGCAGCCCCATTGTGAGGATGGTAAGCAACCCCAAATTAAGCTTCTCAAATGTGAATCCTCAGAGATGCAAGGGGAAATATTTTAGGTTAAGTGGATCTCTGATAAGTCAAAGCAAGCAGATGTGATACCTACATATCTGGTTCTTAATGATCTTATTCCATCTGGCTTTATTCTATAGGGTTGTTTAGAAAAAGTTTTTTTTCTCTCTTTTTCTTAGGCAAGCATAATGGGATACTTATTGTAGTTTCTTATATTTTTCTAGAGTTTCAGAAGTCTATTTTTTAAGTTTACAGAATAAATTATTTTAACTATTGCCTTTTTTTTTTTGGTGTTAGTGCTTTCATATGAAATCAGTTGATAGCAGAACTACATAGCCTCCAAGTTTTTAAAAGTTTTCCATGAAGTTCCACTAGGAGTAGTATAGTCTTTCTGATTCTAATTTAAATAAATAAATTTGACAGGATGACTGTAACCTTGCTCACTGTATTGACAAAATAAAATTAGTTGTGTGGTGGAAATAAAGCAAGCTGTCCAGAAAAATCCCCAAAGGCATGGATTTACTGCATATGTAAGTGGGTCAACTCATGCATGAGAAATGAATGCTAAATGTAAAATGGTTGCAAAACTCTAGACTTTAAGTAGAATTGAATTAAGTGGTAACCTAAATATTTTGATAGGGATGTCCTATCATGCTTCTCTTTCAAAAACAGCAAGAAAGCTCAGCATTACAGAGAAATAGTTAAATCATGTATTTGTGTAAACTAGAACAGTGTTATTGCACTCTAGAATCAAAGGCATTGCATTAATTTATGTTGCTGGCATTGGTAAATTTTAAGTTGAACCTGTATTTGGTTAAACCTGTATTTGCTTTGATGGGTTGCTTTATGTGATAGACACTTCAATAAGACTGCTCTATTCCTTGATGAGCAAAATGTTCAATCCAGCCTAGAAAAATACTTCTTGGGCTTTTCCTGGGTAAAAATAAGAATAAAATAGAATCATCTACTTGGGGAATACAAAAGAAAAAGATAGAAATTTCTGTCTTCCTGGCTTAATTTTCTATTTGTGATAACATTCATATTGCAAAGCTTATATGAAAGACATCAGTAGTTTAAAAAAACTACTACATAATTTTCATTTATGTAGCATAACATTTCATGGACTTCATGTTTAATCCATACTAATTGCCAGCTTGTTGACAGATGAATGTGTTACAGATACATATTGACCTAAAGGTTTATTTCTGTACTTATTTATAACTCTGAAAATTCTGATTGAGGGTTAAAACAGCTATGTAAATGTGAGGAATAAATTGTCAGGTATGCCATTTCCACATTTGCTGTGCTATTGACTGTATTGCATATGCATATACTCTTTAGGCAGTATTTTATGGAATGAAAAATTCCAAGCTGTAATGAAGACAACTATGAAGTGTTTTGTGGTAGCTATTGTAAACACCTGTCCATTGTCTGGCTAAAGGACACGAGTCTCTTTTTAAACACTAGTGACTTCAAGACTAACCTACTTAGAGGGTTTATTGTATTTAAATATGTGACTCTTTTTTTTTCTGTTGTGATACTAAGCAACTGAATTATGACAAAACCCCAACTTACTTTTCCGGTATCCTTGAATATATTTTAGTAGTATCTAAATCACTAATTATTTTTAATGAGTATGTACTTTTGAAGTCAGTCTTTTTTACATATAGAAAAAAGAGAATGAAAACAAAACCTCTTCATGGCAGCTCAACTTGGGAGCTAATTAAAATGAGGCTTTTAGAATGGGAAAAAATTAATTAGCCAAAAAGTTGAGAAGTAGGAATTAGCACCTCCAGAGATCTTTGGGTAGTTAAATGCTTGCAAGGAAAATGTAATTTCTTATTTCCTTGTTTTATTTCATTTTTCATTGCCTGCTTATCATTTTACCTTTGTGTTCCATCTTACCTAATGCTTTTATGCTGTGCTTCAGTTGCTAAGGCACCATCTTAGGCATTAAACCTCCTGCTGAAGAACAAGTTACTCTGCTGCTTCTTCTAATAGCATCTTTAATCTTGATCCCTGGAGATTTTAGTGTCTCACCCCTATGATGCTCACAGGCTTGTTGACCTTGACAACAGGAATATCTGGTCCTCTGTGGGACTTTTTTTTTTTTCTTTTTTTTTTTCTTTTTTTTTTTTTTTTTTTTTTTTTTTTTTTTTTTTTTTTTTTGGTTGTTTTGTTTTTGCAAGTTAAGACAAATTTCGGTGATTTTGTGATTTTTCTTAGGCTGCACTGTAATACTGTATAACCAATGACTGAACTTTTTAACCATCTAACCAACCTACACAAGAAAAGAAAACTTTGCTTCTCCAAGCAGTAAATTAAAATGACACAAGATTGCCTGTGTAATTATTATTCTGCTCTTGTAATTATTTAAATAATTGTTCAGTTACAGAGATATTTGTATACATTTTTTGGAAGGCTCTTTGTCTCACACCAACAGAATCTCACTGTTAGAAATCACATTATTTTAATGAACAACTGAAGGATGTTTCTTCCCCGCTGCCCTCTCCCTAGATCTACCTTGAGTTTCTTTCTCTCCTGTCTTTCCTCAGTTGGTGCATAGTGACCTGGTTCAGTCCCCACAAAAGACAGTGTGTAAAGGGGCAGATGCTGAATATGTCACTAAGTAAGAAAGCCACAACCAGAAAATAGAGAAGGTCTGAATGTCAGGCCCTAGTGGACTTTGGGAAAATCTAGTTTGAAGAAAATATAATTTCAGAGATGGCTTTTTTGAACTTCAAGTCTTTTCCGAACTTCTCCCTGGCTAGGTCATGCCTTCCTTTTTTCTTTACTGGGGAACAGTGTAAAGTGAACCCATACCCAGTTTGGCCAGTCTAGCCCTTTTCTAGCCTTATGAGGAAAACTATACTCCAGAGTATGTGCCTTCTGTTGCCAAGGTTAACTGATTTTTATAGCGTTTGGCATAAGAGGAGAGCTGTTCCCAGCTTCCACAATAGTGGGTGGGTAAGTAGCTGAGGGGGATAGTGTGGCTGGTGTGGGTTTTGGCACAGCAGAGATGGTCTTTAAGAGAGGACTGCAGGTCTTATGAGGAGCCTGTGCAAGACCCAGAGTATGTACTGGGGCAAGGTCTGGATGTCTCCAGGCTGTGCCTCAGCATGCCAATACTGAGCAGGGGTCCTACTCCCTCCTCTTACCATTAAGTGGGACAAAGGCACTTGGTCACCTTTGAAATTAAGTGAGATTGGCTACCATTTTGTTCCAGAGCTGGAGCCACTCAGTTCCTGCTGTTCCCTCAGGTACCACTGATGGAAAGCGAAGGATTCAAAAGATCTGTGGAGACGCCCCAATCTCATCTCTCATGGTTTCTTGCCTGCTCAGCAGAGATGCTTACTGTGGTGTGGGCTGGGCTGCTGTTGGCTACAGTGTTGTGAGAACAAGACAGAAGGGCCAAAGATTTTATTTGCCTGTGCCAGCAAGCTGTAGACATGACCAGGGCAAGGGTAGCAGGCGTGGAATGAGGTCACTTGTTTGGCATTGCCTTTTGTTTAGTGTTCCTTTCTGCACAGTGTGTGTTTCTGGCTCAGATGGTAGCTGGCATGCTGTCTTGAATTGAGTTAGCAGTCAGGGTCCTTTTCAACAGAAAATAAGTGGATGAAAGGCTCAAAAAAGCTTGGTGGTGATGGAAAATAAAGCAGGATTATCAATGAAGGTGATGGCAAAAGTTATAGAAAGCTGACTTTATTGTGGGTTTGGAGATTAGATGATCAGCCTATATTGATAATTGGTGGAAAAAATATGCAGAAGAAACAATGAGGGTTGAGCTTTTGGTATGAAAAAAAACCTCATTAAATGGAAAAAGTCTATAAAGTTGCAGGTAGAATATAAGTGCAGAAGTGGATGTGATTATGTACAGTTTCTTATAAGGCAAGAACTAGGAGCAGGAAGTGTAGCAGTCAGGCACCATACTTAAAAGCAAATATGTGGTATATAATAAAAACTTAGATCTCATTAATATAGGAGCC